GTGGCTCATCATCAATGTCATTCCAATTGTGATCTTCGCAGGTTCTTTCTTGTGATTGGTTGTTGGGAGTTGTGTCAGAGAGTGAGAAACACTGCATGTCTTTTCCCCATTTGTGCATGATTGTCTTCCGCTGCTTATTTTCACCTGTGTGCAGTGTGGACTATGTCTCCTCTCTCCCCTTCTCTCATGCATGTATGGGCATGTGTGAGATTGTCTGTGTGTGAGTGGCGATAAAATTCGTCAGACAACCAAGTTCATAACAGTTGGTATCGGAGCGGGATTGGAATTGGAACACTGAGCGCACTGAGGCATCTTCTTCATCTGGCGATCTACTGGCGAGAGTTTCATGGTGATTCATCTTCCCTAGCACTGAGTCAGCAGGGAAGAAGACTTTCAGCGGTGGATTCAAGTGTTCAGTGGCTGTACTGAGCAAGCGCACTGAGCCTGCCAGGGCGCTTGTCAGGAAGTGGCGAGTATAGGGCTAATTCGCCATAGCCAACCCTGAGGGTAGTACAGCGAGTTACCCCAGAGTGGCGAATTAACCCTGAGGACATCAGGGAACCCTGAGCGGCATCATCCCTGGGTAGCGCTGGTAGAGATTGATGCAGTATATCAATCTCCTGAAGAAATAAACCCATATGGGGCTATTTTTAGCATCAGTGGCTACCAGGCACTGTGGCGAGATATTTTGGGGTTGGCATACTGGGCGCCACAGGACCAGATACAGAGTATCAAGAGTGAAGGGGTGCAGCGCTACAAGATCCTGAGGAGGATCAACAAGTTTGAAGGTGTTCTGTGCGTGGAAGTGTCAGGAGGAATATTTGGAGGAAATTGGCGAGATAAGGGTATCATCAGCCATAGCCAGATCTTCATCATCACCAGCAAGATTCTCAGAAAAATAGTCCGTTCCATGCACCTACCTGTATTGCAATCCAGATAGGGTTAGTTTAGTGAATTTTAATGGTCTATCTGTCTGCCAGTGACTGGATGTGAAAATCGCAGACTGCAAGACAGCCATAGTCATCTCTCCCCTACCTCTCTCTCTACTCATCCCTCCCCCTCTGGTGACTCTTTTTGGTCCAAATTGGTTCTGTGACTGCTATACTGCATTGCGATTGATCTGGGATGCTCAAACATTGAATTATGTACTGGAAAGGTAGTGATACTGTGAATTGTTGTTTTGCGCTGAGTCTATTTATAGCCTTTGCTACCTAGGGTCAGTCATAACTTCATTTCTGTCTTCAGTTCTGTCAGTCCCCAGTGAATCGCAATCCAAAAATAGACAATACTGTAGAATCGCAGGATTGGACTTGCAGTATTTCACTGGATACAATGAAAACTGTAATTCGGCATACCCTAGGGTATGGCCGCCAGAGTCATCAGAGTCTGAAATTGAGTCTGGGTCAGGATACAGGGTAACTGTCTGCATCGCTTGTTATGGTTGACCTCTCTTTGTCTGTACTAACCATCTCTATCATTCCCACTGACTACCATTGTTTTCTAGTGGGTACTGTAAATTCTAGTGCGTCTCTGGAAGAGTAGTGGAGTGACTCTACTAACTTCAGTGTGGTCCAGGGTCAGTAAAAGGAAATCGTGTGATTGATTTTGTTGGACTTACAGTCTGTCTGACACCTGACCCCAAAGACACCCTTCCACCCCAAATCGTTGATTGTCTGTACACCCACCTATCCCAGTGTTGAGTATTTGCAGCGATTCCTGTGTGTCTGAAGGAATCTGACTGTCGCTGCATACTCTGGTTTGCTGTTTATTTTATCTTTGGTCTTTGTTTTGAACTGGGAAAATGTCCGAGCAGGGGACAGAGCAGCAGCCACAGGTGGAGGTGGTGATGAAGGTGGAAGGTGAACAGTCTTCAACTTCCACTCTCCCTTCTCCACCTCTGGATGCTACTCAGCGGTTGAAGGAGTTAGAAGAACAACTGCGGCAGCAACAGGCCAGACTTGCAGAAGTGGAGCAACTAGAGGCCGCTGAACTAGAGGCTGCAACAGATAATTCCATAAGAGAATATCTGTTGCAGCAACTAGAAAGGTCGCTCACTGATGATCGTTGCTCCCAGGTCACCAAGCACATGGCAGAGATGATCCTGTTGGAGCACAAGATCACCAGCTCCCAGTTTACAAACTGGGATGATCATTTTATGCGGCTGGAGCATCGGGTTGACGAGCTGTCAGATCAGCAGACCAAGATCCTAAAGTCTATTCAGGGCTTGACTGCTCAGCTGGCAGCCGCCAAGCTAATCACTCCTCAGCCCCCTCTGCTGCAGCCCAAAGCTTGTCCTCATTCTTCACCCCCTTCCTCTCCACATCCATCACATGCTGGCTCTGTACATTCTTCCCGGTCATCCACCCCGTCCCAAAAGGCCTCAGCAAAGGCCACCTATGCTGCTGTTATTGCAGGAGACCAGAGACGTCCCAAGATCCCGGCTCCCAACAAGTTTAGGGGTGATGACCCCAAGACAGATGTTGGGGACTGGGCTGCTGAGACCCGAGCCTACTTGAGGGGCTTCGTCTGTGCAAAACAGACCAAGGTGGCGACTGTTCTGGGACTGCTGGAGGGACCCGCACTGAAGTGGGCCACCTCAACTTCCAGCAGTCTGCAGCAGTCCATGGAGGACAGGGCTTTTGGGCTGGGGGTGGACAGACTTCTGCAGGCCCTGGAGGACCGGTTTGCAGACAAGGAACGAGCCCGCAAGGCTGCTGACAGGATTGCTCGCCTGGGACAGCAGCGGTACAGCGGGATCTTGCAGGCCTTGTTTACTGACTTGGAGCAACTCACCTCCACCCCTGGGTTGATCATGAGCCCTGATGATTTGCTGACCAACTTCTGCAGGGCAGCGCCTGAGAAGTTTGTTGTTGCTCTTTACAGCGCTGGGCACAAGGACTGGAGGTCCTTTGGCCGTGCAGCCCTGGAAATGGAGGTCAAGCTCCATGTCCAGGCCCCATCCTCTGATAGGAGGAGAGGTGCCTTCCCTCGAGGTGGTAGAAAGCGAAAGGCAGCCTTCACGCATGTAGGGTCTGCCTCAGGATCAGACTCAGATTCCCAGGATGATACACCTTCAGCTGGGACTGGATCTGCTGCTGAGACATATGTTGCAGCAACCGTGACTCAGGCTGTTTTAGGAGCCCTGCAGCTGCAGAAAAAGTTTTCTCCCACCACAGCCTCATTCAGTGCCAAGGGGAAGGAAAAGGGACGTCGACCTTCCTCTTCCCAGCACCCTAACCTACCCAGAGACGTCCATATGCCAGCTGAACCTCTCAATCCGTCCACACTCCCCTGGCATGACCTCAATATCCAGGAGGGAGTCTGGAGAAGAAGAAAGGAGAGAGGGGTTTGCCTGAGGTGTGAGGGACAACAGTTTTTAAAGAACTGCCCTTACATGTCAGACCCAGGGCAGTCAAAAATCTGAAACAGACCCTGGGGACTGCAGTTCCCCCCAGTGCTGCACCTTCATCTATTCAAGTAGGTGAATCTGCAGCTGTTTCAGTTGAGGCTGCATGTGACAGTGTGAGTTTGGGGACTGCGCGAGCAACATTCTTCTGCTATGAGGATCCTGACCCGGATCAGGACCCGGGGCAGGATGAGCTCCAGTCTATTGCTGCCTTCTTCTTTCATCTGAAGGAATAGAAGAAGAGCAAGACTGATCTCATCATGCTTCGGCCACTGATCAACAGTACCAGGATCACTGGGTTGTTGGACTGCGGGGCCACTAGGAACTTCATGTTTCCCAGTGCAGTTAAAAAGCTGCACTTGGGCATGAAAGTTTAGCAGCTGCAACAATCGCTGCTGGTGCGGATTGGTGACTCTACAGTACTCAGCATCAGGGAGAAGGTCAAGGGCATCCCTGTGACCTTCGATACTGCAGGAAAAGTCAGACACAGTCTGGACTTTTATATCTTCTCTGAGCTTCCCTTTGACTTGGTGTTCTCCATGCAGTGGTTGAGGGCAGTCAACCCTAGGATCGACTGGCAGATCCCTAGAATTGAACTACCGGACAGCCAGGGGGTGTATCAGCCATGCATGATGATTGTTGAGCATCACCCTAAGACCTCCTGCTACTGCCTGAGAGCGAGGGAGTTTTATGCTCTCTCTCGCCAGTACCATAATGAGCGTTTGTTTATTGCTTTGGTCAAGCAAACAGATGCTCCCCCTGTTTCCTGTCCTCCTGAGATACAGCAGGTGGTAGATCAGTATGCTGATTTGATGCAGGAGCCCTTTGGACTACCCAACCGGCCAACCAAGCATCACATCGAGCTGCTGCCTGGAGCGGTCCCTCCCAAGGGCCGCATCTACAAGATGTCCCCTGCTGAGCTTAAGGAGCTCAGAAAGCAGCTTGAGACCCTGACCAGCAAAGGCTGGATCAGACCCAGCACACCTGAATTTGGTGCACCTGTTCTCTTTGTACCCAAAGGGAACGGCGAGTTCAGGATGTGCATTGATTACAGGGGTCTCAATAAGATCACTAGGAAGAGTACTAAGCCACTTCCTAGGATCGATGACCTCCTGGATATGGTGCAGGGCTGCACAGTGTTCAGCAAAGTCGACCTCAAATCTGGTTACCACCAGATTGAGATGGCAGAGGAGGATGTCTACATGACAGCCTTCAAGGTCAGGTATAGGACTTATGAGTTCCTGGTCATGCCCATTGGACTTTGCAACGCCCCAGGCACTTTCCAGACAGAGATGCACCGCATCTTCAGGCCTTACCTGGACAAGTTTATGGTTGTTTTACCTGGATGACATCCTGGTATTCAGCAAAACTGCCAAGGAACATGCGGAGCACTTGGCTCTTGTCCTTCGGTCGTTACGTGACAACCAGTACAAGATCAACAGAGAGAAGTCCTCTTTTGGAGTTCCCTCTGTCATCTATCTGGGTCATGTAATCTCTGGAGATGGTCTGGCTTCTGAAGCAGCCAAGATTGCTGCTATTCAGGAGTGGCCCCAGCCTCAGACAGTGAGGGATGTCATGTCCTTCATGGGATTAGCCTCCTACTACAGAAAGTTTGTCAGGAACTAGTGGCTGCACCCCTGACTAACCTAACAAAGAAAGACACTCCCTTTCTTTGGTCCCTCCACTGTCAGTTGGCCTTCACACGACTCAAGAAGGCCTTGACTCATGCGCCTGTACTAAAGTTGCTTGACCCCACTTTGCCATTCATCCTGACCACTGACGCCAGTCAGTATGGCATTGGGGCAGTTCTTCAGCAGGATGATGGGAATGGTCTACGACCTGTAGAGTTCATGAGTAAGAAGATCAAGACTCAAAAGTTGCAGGACTCTACCTACGAGAAAGAGTTGTATGCTCTTGTTTGTGCCCTGAAACATTGGAAGCACTTTCTCCTGGGCAGGCACTTCAAGATCTTTTCAGATCACTCCACCCTACAGTGGATGAAGTCCCAGGGAGAGTTGAACGATAAGCTGGCACGGTATATTCAGTTCATTGACATGTTTGACTTTGAACTGAAGCAGAAGAAGGGCTGCTACAACAAGGTAGCAGATGCCCTTTCTCGTAGGCCTGACTCTTTTGCGTTGATCTCCTCTACTCACTCCTTTGGAGAGGAGACCCGTCAGACCATTGCTCGTCTACTGCCTCAGGACGAGACTTACGGACCCATTGTCAGGAATCTGCAAGCAGATCCTAACTCTGAACCACGCTACGCTCTGAGTTCAGTTCTGTTGTATACTTGCAGCAGAGGTGAGGAGCGCTTGTGCATTCCTCAGGACCAGCGGCCTAGGACACTGCTGATGTCAGAGTGTCATGATGCCCGCGGACATTTCGGGTTCCTAAAGTCTTACGCAACCCTGTCGCAGCGTTTTTTCTGGAAGGAGATGTGGAGTGATATGCTGCGTTATGTGGACACCTGTGAGCTTTGCCAAAGGAATAAGGTTCGGCGGAAACCTCCTTTGTGACTGCTCAAAATCTTACCCATACCTGATGGCCCTGCTGAATCTGTGTCGATAGACTTCACAGATTTAGGCAAGACCACCGCTCGTGGCATGCGTCAGGTTATGGTCTGCGTGGACAGGTTCTCCAAATACGCAGAGTTCATCCCATTGCCAGAGGTAGCTAGAGTACCGGCTGTGAGAGCAGCCTTCTCTGAGAGGTGGGTCACACACCATGGACCGCCCACTTCTATCGTCAGTGATCGAGACCCCAGATTTTGCAGCGATGAGTGGCAGTCCTACTGTAAGGACTATCTGCACTCACGACTGGACATGACTTCTGGTTACCATCCTGAAGCCAATGGATTGGCTGAAGTGATGAACCAGGTCTTATTCCAGCTGCTATGTCCGGTCATCTCCCCAGATCAGCAGGACTGGGATCTTCACTTGGCTACTGCACAACTTATGTATAACATGTTTGTCCACTCCTCGACTGGGTTCAGTCCATACCGGTTGCACTGGGGACGTGAACCACGACAG